TAGCAGGTATTAAATGTTGCTGGGCTCTTGGTGGAGCTTACTGGCACAACTTAATGAAATTCAGCCATTATTACTTTCACTACATTATACCTGGACTGTGTTTTTCTTGCTGTGCAAAGTAAAAATGTAAGAAAGGTCAGTTAGCTTTTTTTAAACATGACAAAAGCAATCTACAATAAAGTAAGAAACGAGTTGTATAGGCAAAGGAGCAATACGTCTATTCTTTAAAAATAGTTCATTTTAATGCGGTGCGTGCTGTAACGAGGCTGCACTTGATCTTCAAACATGCTGTTTCAGCAGCAGCAGCTAATAAAAGGTGTTGAGGATTGTGTCCCCAATCATAAACATTGGACATCTGCTGCTAAAAAGTCTGATCTGTATTTACATAAATGTTGCTATGCAAATACACTTGCAGCAGTACAGTGATGTAAATGGGCTTTCCTAAAGATATACTGACAAAACAGAAAACCATACAAACCTGACAGACAAGTTTGATTTCAGCTCGTTAAGTTGCCCACTAAAGTAACTTTAATTATGTCAGTTTATGACCACATATCATTACAGCGCTGTTTTGATGTCACAGCAACGGTCAAGGTCCACTGAAACTTGAGAAGCCGCTACCTGCAGGTTGTGCATGCTGCTGTTTGCTAGTAAAGATAAAGATACACAGAATAATTGACTTCAGTTTACTCAGGCTGCAACCACTAGTTTGATCAGCAGTACATATATATATATATCTATTGATCTGGCTGATGAAAAGGCAAAATGGTGAACAGTGTCAGTGTTTCCCAAAGCCCAAGATGACATTCTTAAATGTCCTCTTTTTTTTTTGGCTACAACCCAAAAATATTAACTTTAGTGTTGCAGAAGAGGTAAGAAACTAGGAAGTATTCAAACCTAAGAAACTGCAATTTTTTTTCTTCTTAAATACACAAACGGGTTAATCACTAAGAAAAATAGTTCCAGATTAATGAGTTGACAACTAGTTGAGGTTACACGTGTTCTTGCCTGTGCGTCTGTGATAATTACAGATGTATGAAGGAGGGCAGGAGAGTGTGTGTGTGTGTGTGTGTGTGTAGCTAATTGTTATGCAGTTGTTTGATTTGAAGGTAATTGTTTGAGCGGTCCGAGCCTGGACTACTCTTTAATTTCCATAACGTGTATGCTTTGGGTCACTTGACACCATCATTAATTTCGCAGAAGAGGCGATTACGGTTGTAGTTTTATGGGCAAGTGTGTACATAACCCTTTTAAGCAGCCCTGCCTCAGTCTTGGAAAGGTGACAAAGTCCAGCCAATTAAGAAAAGAGGGGAATTTAATGCTTCAGTTGATAGCAGCGTGTTTCCACAGGGTCACCTGGACCTGACAAAGACTAGCAGTTTTACAGAGCACAGCTACATTATCAAAAAGACTCAGTGCACCGCAACCCTGCTGAGCTTCAGAGCGCCGTGCCATTGATCATTTCCTCAACCTGAATTTGTAAAACCAGTGTGTTGCCTTTAGATATCCTAAAAAACATCACCTAACTGTGTATTAACATAATTACAGTACAGCCTAATGTTCATCCCTGTGAGCATGTCGGTAGAGAAAATGTGTTTGTGGTATTTCTGTATTAACAATAGAAATGTAGGTGTGATAACAGTCAGGTGTAGTAATTTAAATTGAGCTTGGATTAAATGCAGTCTTGTCTAACCTCATTTCTCTCTTCTCTCTCTGCAGATCAGTCCATCCTTCACTCCCCTTTGTATCCATTTTCATCCCCCATCATCTTGGATTTTTTTTTTTTTCCTTTTTCTTTTTTCTTTTTTTTTTTAATGTACAGTTTCTGTCTGTCTTCCTTTTTTGGATGCCACCATTAGGAATGTGTGTATTTTGACGGACGCGTTTTGGAAGAACTCATCTGCCTTCTTACGAGGCCCTGTGCTGCACTACCACACCCTGAAGACGTAAGCACCGGGAGGAAAGCATGGGACCAAGTCGAAAACGATATCCGTGCACATTGTGATGATTCATATCCACCGTTGACACAAAGCCAGCACCAACAGACCCAGATACGACACCCTCCATTCTCCACGTTTTATTTTGGAAGTTTTAACCAATTTGTATCAAGTGCCTTAACAAGCAGTTCAACTCGTTCTAAAGTAATAACCCGTCATTATCCGCCATCTTGCTCACCTCATACCACACATTCATGTTCACCTAATTGAAAGTTTGTTACACTAATTTAATGTCTGACCAAATAGGTGAATTCATTACTGTTTTTGGTTGGGTCATCCATTTGCAAGGAATGGAGATCATTTGGAGGGAGGCTGGTCTGAATCATCTTTTTGCTGGCTTAGCTGAACTCGAGTCTGGCTGATAAATGAGGACAAACTTGGATTTCCATGGACAGAGATGCTGGATTTTTTTCCAAGAGACAGCCAGACTGTCCAGTTGCTTGTGAAGAAGCTCGTGCTTCTGAGAGACCCAGACCCTTTCCTCTGTCTTCAGCTTCAGAACACTAAAAATGAATAAGCAGCCTTGCAACACCATGAGTCATGAGGATTCCTGTTTCGGTGGAGTTTATTTGGAGAGAATGCTTTTGTTTTTTGTTTTTTTTCTTTTCTTGTCCTGTGTTTCACCTTCCTATGGATGGCCATACTTAATTCTGCGAGACGTGCAGCCGACATGTGGGGCGCACCTTACACCTTGTGTATATACCTTCATTTTAAGATTGTTTTAAACAAGTTCAAAAGGCTGGCTGACAAACTGAAAAGCCGCCCGCCCCTTCTCTCTTGTTAGCACTGGAGACAGTTTTCCTTAACTGCCAGTTTGTTTGATCTGCAATATTGGCCTGTGAATTTATTTATAATTTTAGAAGTTGCAGAATTTATTAGAATCTAAAACATTGAAATGACCTCGTTCATGGAATGTTTTCGGAGACCGTTATCCCTGATAATCTTTTAGCCCCTCCAAATTTAATGGTGAGTGCAATTCTTCAAAGATGCACTTAAGGTGAGAGTTTAAATTGCTGCCCTGCTTCTCCTGTTACCAGTGTTAACAAGTGCTGAGTCTAGACAGATGGCTTTCTTAAGCTTGTGCATTTTGAGTAATGAATTATTTGTTGTCACCAGCCTTGACTTGTGAAACTGACTCTTGAGACACTCTATGATCTCCAGTTATAGTGAGTGCTGGTGTTGGAAGAGGAAATAATATTCTATCACGTAGTAGTACTACTTGCTGCAGTGCAGCTGAATTGGCAGATAATTTGTTTTCGGGGGAGGTATTCGCTGTTACGTTGATTTATGCCCTGTTTAAGCACAGCTACATGACTTCCTGATGATGAGGGGGAGCTGTTGTTTTATTTTCCCCCTTTTAAAGAATGTCGGCCGAATGCAACAAAACGAAAACACCTGACCTAACATGTAGCAGGAGTTCTCTCTCTGTGCTTTGCAACTTAGCTGGTTCTCGCTCAGCCGGCTAACAAAAGAAACGTCATTAAACACAACCTGAGCAGGTTGCGGCTGCACTTACACACAGAGAGACGGATTCAGGCAAACACACTGACTGCACTGCTTTTTGTACACTCATGATGCCCAGATAGAAAAAGAAGTGTATGGTGGTGCAGAGCATTAAAAAAAAATTGGCACAGAGGGGGAATGGGCATGAAGGATTCTAAAATTACTATTAGTCGGACTGCTTGTTTAAAAAAAAAAAAAACGAACTTGGGCACCTCAGCCTGCTGAGTTTATGGCTTATTTCTCTGCCCTGTATTGCTTTAGTTTTGGGGGTTTTGGATGACAGTTTTGCATTTCTATGCACTATGATAACCTTTAATTTGCATTAAGATTCTCTGACTATCAGCCAGAACCTTTTTGTAAAAGAGGTTCCCTTTATTATGGCGAGATGCTCTTTTGATTGTTCTTACCAATGAGAAGTACTGTTGATTTAATTTAGGCTCATTTCTAAAGGTAAGTGTGACAGTGACGAAGACTTCCCGTGTGTTTCTCATTGGTTCGGACTCGGATCCCTGTTCTCATACTTCTGTTCTTGTCCTAGAAATACCTGCATCTCTGATTTGACAATTGGACTTATGTTTTGGGTGGGAGGGCTGTATTTATTTAAGAAAAAAATTCCAAATGAAGCATCAGTTGAGAGAACAGGGGTCTGAATATGCAGGCACTTGGCAGCTGTCTGTTTGTTGTCGGCCCGCTGGCAGTAATCGCTGCAGCAGATGCTCTCAAGGCTACAATCTATGATCTTTAAAGGTTCAGTGTACGGCTACCTTCTGATGGGTTTTGAGTTTACTGCCAGTGGCGCTGAAAGCCTTTAAGACTGAGACAAGAGCATCTTGCCCCAGATCGGGCGACTAATCGGCGAGTTTTTTTGTTACCAAATTGTCTCATTCTTGAAGGTGTTCAAATTTGTGGGGGTGGGTGAATTAGCGCACTTGCTGCCCTGATGCACACGTTCATGCTCTTGATAGTCGAGACTCAATTTAAGATCGCACAGCTTTTGTGTAGAATTTGGCCGTCCCTTTGTTTGTCCGTCAAGAGAATGTGGAAGGAGTCCTTGTTAGGATTTCCTTCAGAAGTGATGCATCAGTGAAAGACGTGGGGAGGGGGCCTGAGGGCGCTTCAACAACCGGATTAAATGATCTAAAGATCCAGAGTTTTGGTAATGGGGGTATTAAAAAGTTTAAAAGAGTTGCCCTTAGATTTTGTTTTGTTCTTTTGGTTATCGAAATGACATGTTCAAGTGAAGTACACCTTTCTTAAAATGTCTCTAAATTTAAAACCTAAGTTCATGTTTTGTTTTTTTTTAAATTTTGAATTTGAAATTTGGTTAATCAATTGGCAATTTTTTCAGTGACGTTAATTTTACAACAGAGTTGAGATATGATGGATATTATTGGATACTGGATTGGAATAAGTTTTGTTCAATAAAGGTCACTGAAATTTAATGTGTCTTGAAGTCTGTGTGTGTTTTGTTGCTGTTGAACCGGTGTTTCAAAGCTAGGTGTCAGTGTGCCGCTGCTCTGCTCACACCTCCGTCTCCATATAAACCTCGGCCACAGTCGTCCTCTGGTGTCACTTCAGTTCACGGCTCAAGATGTACAACTTGATGGTGATTTGCTTCTCATCAGCGGCTCTCTTTGCCTGTGTGAAGAGCGCGACTCCTCCGCCTTGTGACAGGTAAGACGAACGACTCGGTGCTCTAAAAGGCTTTTGTATACACGAGTCCCTATTTAGACTTTCTGCTCTTCATCTCCGGATAATTCCATAAGAAAGTTCTCGTTATAAGGCCGTCTCAAAGCAGCGTCTGTAAGCATCTCCTTTCTAATTTAAAACCTTTTTATTAAATCATTGAACTGCTGAGTTGAAACCGCCGCAATGATCACAATCTGAAACACTGAAGAAGCTCTTTGATTAAACAGCTCCTCACGTCTTTAGCGGTGCTCAAATGGCAGAAATTCTGACAATTTTTTTGCCCTTGTTGAGCAAATGTTCCTAAAATAACAGGAGCTCTGGTGCTGCTGTTCAACCCAGTGAACTGAGCCTGGCTTTTCAAAGTGTTGAATCGACCTGCTGCGCCCGTGTTTCTCTTGATTGGGTTTGTGCCATTAAGTTGTCAGCAGACCTTTGCCCTCCTCTGCTCATTTTTAGTGATTTATCGCCTCCATGCAGGACTCTTAACAGGATTTGTTTGGCTACATTGCACCTTCCACAGATAAGCCTTTTTTTTAATGATATCTGTTAATAATAAATCCCAACTCTTCCTCTCAGTGAGATCTACTGCACCGGGCCCATCCTGCATCAGATGCAAAGCGCCAAGCTGTTTGATGATGACAAGTACTTTGTTGACATGAAGCTGAGGGCAGCTCCTGGTAAGTCACACTCATAAATGATGTCTCTATCTATCACCAAGTCCCCTCGCTTCCCGTGTCTGTCTTCCTGCAGATGTTGTGTTGTCGGCTTTTCACAACCTCTCAAACAAATTCCCAAACAAGAACGTCCCACCTGCCGACCTGCGGGAGTTCCTCGCTGCACACTTTGAGGATCCGGGGACGGAGTTTGAGCCGTGGACGCCGCCTGACTGGCATGACAAGTGAGATCCAGCTGTTGGCTCTCCCCACGCAGATCGCACTGAGGTTTTTAAATCGAGCCCGACTAACGTGGGTTGAATTTCAGGCCCAAGTTCCTGGGAGGAATCGCAGACGAGCAGCTCCGCAAGTGGGCCGGAGAGATCCACTCTCTGTGGAAGTCACTCGGCAGAAAGGTGACGAGGGGTCGACGCAGAATAAATATTTGAGCTTTAAACTATCTTGATGTTTTTTCACAATTTCAACTAAATTGCTGGAAATTTAACTTTATTTTTTTTGCTTTTTAAGAAATAATGATGCACATTTTTTTCCAATTAATTTAAAAAAATTATCCTGATTAATTCTTTTTTTTTTTTTTTTGCTACATCCCTAATAATAATTTTTCTGTTTTTAGTGTTTATAAGCAGCACCACATTTTCATTTCTAGTGTATTTCTACTCCACTCATATGTTTCTTCTGGCTAGAAATGATATAATTAAGCGACAAAAGACAGTAAAATATTGTGTTGTTGATAAATTAAACCTATTTCTGATCCTTTTTTACACTTCTACTAAAAAATGCCATGTCCATAATGATTCTCACTCGTCTCTTGGCAGATGTTGACAGTGGTTTCACTCCTCTTTTGTGACCATCTCAGCCTCTTTGAGTTTAAAAGGCTTCCTTGTTGTTGCCTTCTTTCAGCCATTTCTTGACCACTTTGGCTGCATGTTTCAGATCTTCTTGTTGGAGTTTCTCTTTAAGCTGACTGATGTTTTTTTTTTTTCTCACAAACCTCTTTGCTTTGACGAAGCTTGCCCGGCCCGTTGGCTAACAAACACTCCCACCACCACCGTGTTTGATGGTGCTCTTGGGGTTTGAAAGCTTCTCTTATCTTTCCTCAAACTCCTTCTCTGTCCAAACGGCTCCATTTTCATCTCATCCAAGCGCAGGACTGATGACCAAAAGCTTTCCTCTTCTTCATCCTTGTTCGGTGTCTGCCAGAGTCTTGGGATGTCGGTACCGGAGATTCCTCGGAGGTGATGCTTGGGTTCTTCTTGGCCACATCTGGCTTTCTAACGGGCCTAATGAGATTTTTCACAGCGTGGAACTCCTTGTACCTTTTTGCACTGTGGCCACTGACACTTGAAAACACTTGGATACGCTTTTCCTGCCTTGGGAGCAGCAACAATGTGCGACTTTCTCTCCGTGATGGACTCTAATAGCAAGCTCAGTACGCTTTTAGTTTTTAACAAAAAGTGACCAGAGAGCTGCTGCATTGGCTCTTCTCAGTTTAGAGTGAATTGAAGTGCTGTAGAAGCTCCATTCTTTTTCAGAAATGTATGAGAACTTCAAGGCATGTGATTTTTTGGCAATACTGTTGCTTGTTTTTTATCATTTCTAGACATAAGAAATCAAACAGAAATAAGATAAGAAAAAAAAAAGACTTGATTCATCCTTAGCTGGTGATATTTACATGGATGCAGATGAGGCATGAAAAGAAGCAGGTGTCACTGACATAAGTTGAAATTGACAAAAGTAATAATAAATAAAATTTAATGAACATCATGATATTGCTTTTGAATTGTGGTTCAACAGAAATATATATTTTAAAAAAAAGATTTTGGCCCACTGCTCATTAACAAAGTGCTCTAATTTGTCCAAGTGAGTTTTTTTTTTTTTTAATTTTTTTAAATTAATAATTTCAACCACAATTCAAAAGCAATGTCTTATTTCACTAAATTATAATTTAACAAATTTTTATTTATTATTACTTTTTTCAGTTTCTAGTTATTTGATTGTGATTTTTGCCTTTTCTTTAATGTAACTGTGTGAATAATTTATATATTGAGAAGGGAGTAGACCAGTGTTAACATGATGATATTACACATAAAGAGCTGTAATAAAACAGTGTTATATTTTACTGATTGATGCGGGAGAGCTGCAGCTGTTCCTGTTTGGGTTACATGGGAGCAAAAATTCCCTCTAAAATCAGAGTTTTGACGTGGCTGTGAATATTTTGAGCTCACCTGTAAACTCAGACTGAAAACGATTCCTCCTCCAGATCCGCTCCAGTGTCAGAGATCAGCCAGAGCTCTACTCGCAGATCTACATGCCGAACCCGCTCGTGGTGCCGGGAGGCCGCTTCAGGGAGCTCTACTACTGGTGAGCGAACAGCCTTTCACTCAGCTGTCTGTCAGGGTCACAGCGAGGACACATCGCAGCCAGAACCCAGGCTGGGGGTCTCTGCTGCTGAGGGCCCCGCCTGGGTTCTGGCGCTCAGACAGTGACGTGAGCCGCTCTGTGCCCAACAGGGACTCCTACTGGGTCATCAACGGGCTCCTGCTGTCAGAGATGACAGACACGGCCTCCGGGATGATTCAGAACTTCCTCCACCTCGTCAACAGGTGAGACCCCGAGCTCCTTTTCATCCTTCACAGCGCTTAAAAAGCCCACTGCAGGTAGTTTAGCATTCTCATTTTTGAATAATGACTCATTTAGCAAAGCCGAGTTGTTCACTTTGGTAACGGAGCTCTCGGGGGAATTTCAAGACTCGTGGAATAAAATATATATTTCTTTCTCCTCTCACCCTCTTAAAGATATGGCTTCGTTCCAAACGGTGGGCGGATTTACTATGAAAGGCGCAGCCAGCCTCCATTCCTCACACTAATGGTGGAGAGCTACTATCAAGCAACCCAGGATAAAGAGTTCCTCAGGTGATATTTAGGCCGGAGCTGACGTCCTGCCAGACACGCTGTTATTTGTCAGCTGCCTCCTGTTCCATCCAGAGTAGGGGAGGATAAAAATAAAAAAGAGAGAGAGGCACATTAAGCATCAAATCCTCGTGCCTTTCTCTGCCTCCGGTGTTTTATTATTTTTAAACCCATAATTAATGTGACACCTTGACACTCATGTGTAATAATATGAATGAATGCGAGAAGTGCTTTGAATTAAAGAAAACCTCCTGCTGTCTGTTGCAAAACGTGTAGAGCGGCTTTACCGGTTCTGGAGAAGGAGCACGAGTTCTGGATGAGGAACCGCTCGCTGGCCGTAAAAGTAAACGGGGCGTTGCATGTACTGAACCGGTATGACGGGATGGCCGACTTGCCGAGGTACGTCTCACTGAAATACACCGAGTCGTAAAAGCAAAATAAAAGAAGACGTACAGTCTCCACCTTCACTGACCGCGTCTGTCTTTATTTCAAGGCCTGAATCCTACACAGATGATCTGGAGTTAGCTGAAGGACTCACTGATGGTAATGAGTGATTGCTTTTATTCCATGAAAGCAACTGTGAGGTGCTGCATTTCATAATTACCCCTCAGTAGAAAGAATGAAATAGATTCCCGTTGATTTAAGGATCAACTGTGCAAAACAAATTTGCCTGAATGCATCATCCTGTAATGAATACTTATGTTAAACTCACTGAACAGTTTCATCACTAAGGAAAGCTGTTTGACACGACTTCTGCAAACGTGAATGTGTTTTCGCTCTTTACTGACGCTGTCTTTTTTAATTACTGACAAATATTCAGTGTCATAAAGTTATTTTCTACACAGCTTCTGAAGCTCCAACATGAGGCTGGCTCTTTTATTTTTTTCACCCCCACATCTAGTTACAAGACATACATGAATAAGTAATGAATGTTAGATGCTGATTTGTTTTGGCTCTACATGTAATTTTCTGTGTTTTTTTTTTCCCCTCCCCGTCTTCTTGCCCTCAGAGCTTAAGCAGCAGCTGTGGCTGGATCTGAAAGCGGGTGCAGAGTCTGGCTGGGACTACACATCCCGCTGGTTTATAGACGGCGACGGCCACAACGACGGCACCCTCAGAGACATTCGCGCCAGCCAGGTCCTGCCCGTTGACCTCAACGCTCTGCTGTGCCGCAATGAGAAAACTCTCGCTTCGTTTCACCGGCTGCTGGGTGAGAACAGGAGCAGCCTCTGACCTTGAAGCCAGCTTTCGGCCCGGCACACGGAGGAGGGGGGTTTAGCTCCTAACTGGCGTTACGTAACGGTGATGTGCTGCTTCCTGACAGGTGATGGTGACTCAGCTGCACGGTTCGACCGGGCTGCAGCCCGCAGACTGGAGGCGATGGAGCTGCTGCTGTGGGATGCTGAGAGGGGAGCCTGGTTTGACTACAGCCTGGTGACGTTTTCCAAACACTACCACTTCTACACCTCCAACCTGGCGCCCATTTGGGCTCAGTGCTATTCTCGGCCTGAGATGGGAGAGAGGGCCGTGCAGTATCTGAAGGTTGGTGGATGGCTGAGGCTTCGTTGTGCTTTCAACCCTCCCTCTGCTCGGGTTTCTGGGTGGGTTTTGTTTTGCTCCTCTCTCACTGTGGGCTCATTTTTCACTGGAGTCCTTCACTTGTACAGAAAAAAGGCTAGAAGTAGAAAGAACTCACAGGTATAAGCTGCATTTCAAATCCCAACCCAACATTCTCCATGCGCCCACAAGTGTTACCAGTATTGCAACAGAAAGTAAAAGCTCCTGATGTTATAGAGGATATTTGAAAAGGCCTATTTACACTTTTATCCACACTGCTCTGCACACGAGCCGTGGAAACACATTTCACCATGCTGGATGTATGCTGCTCCTCTGTACGCTGTTGCTGAGCCATGCTGCATTCATTTTATTTGCCAGGTTTGCTTATTTTTCTCTCGGCCTCTCTTGTAATCAACTCTCTGCTCTGTGCAAACACTGCTGGAAGTTCAACCAAAAGGTCCTTTAATTCAGGGGTTCTCAACCTGTTCTGGGTGGGTCGTGGACAGCTGGTCAAACTTAAATAATATATAATGTGCGTCTCAGGTTGGACTTATTTTTTAATTTTGAAAAAACTTTTATTTTGACAGGCATGGCAACCATCGTTTGTTTATTTTAAGTTTGTGTTGATGTTGGGATGCAAGATGGCAAAGCGCAAATATGACCCGGAGTATTTAAAATGTGGATTTTCATACTAGGGCTGGACTGAGAGCAGCTCTGTCTCCTGTCACCCCAGACTCTGAAACTCTAATCAGGAGTAGAGCACGTGTCCAACTGTCTCATTAACTTCAACAAATGACCTGATCAGGCCAAAACTGTATTTTCGAGTAGTTTTGATATTTATTTTATTCACGTTTGTACATGCAGTTGTCATGATCCTCCTTAGTTTCTTATTAATTTGCTCAAAATGGAGTGAAAACATGTTGTTTTGTGCCCTTTTTTTTGCATGCAGTTGTCATGGTCCAGTTACTCTGCACGGTTATATGCTCTGAAATGCATGTTGCACAAGAAACTATATTGAATATTGAATTCTAAAAAAAAAAATTGGTTCACGACTTAATGACCATGGGACAATGTGGGTCCCCGGGTGAGACCAGTTGCTTTAATTAATCTCACGTGACTTTTGGTCACAGCTGAGCCAGTTATGACTTCTTAGTGTCACTGAGGAGCACAAAGTTTTTGATTTTTTGTTGCAAACTGTTTATTTTTTGGTGATTTTTTATAAATGAGGCATGCAGAGTGAAGTGATTTTGATGAAATGTCATAATTTTAAGCTGAGATTTAATTATAACAGCAGACATGATGCATTCATTGAAGCCGAAAATCCGATAATTCTGTATTTTTACAGTTTTTAGCTTTGATAAATGGCATAATTTTTGCAATTTTTACTGAAAAAACCCCCCAAAACTTTAAAATATACCAGCATGTGTCAGGAGTTTCAGTTTTAATTTTAATTTCAGAAGAATAGATAATGGGTAATTCCTTCAAACTACGATAGGTACATGTTTTTCCTTATCTTAAATCAAACTTCTATCTATGCTTTATATATATGTAGTCTTTAAAATATCTTACTTATAGATAGAAAATATATATAATACCTATTAATTACATATAGATTGTTTACTAGTCACAAAAATGTGCACAAGAGCAAACCCCCAGTGTCTCTGGATTAACTCCCAGAACATGATATGAACAGATTTCATGTGGACTTTTTTCCTCAGTGGAAAGTAGTTCCAGTGGAGAAAGCCCAGACGCCATTAGATTCCATCAGAGGTAAGTGAGAAGTCCTGTATTCATGGCGTTTGTGTGAAAGCCCTCCTCAGTGTGTATTTATCCAGATCAGGTCCAATGAACACGGATGATTGGACGTCAAATGCTGTCGCAGCTCGGCCACCGAGCCGCACACATCTGCACACAGCTGTCTCCTCACAGCTGAGGCTTTAAACACTTTGCCCGACTCGCTCCTTGACGGTCACTGTGGGAGGAGAGCCCACAGCAGCCTCCATGAGCTCGCAGGACGATGCTCACCTGCTCCAGCAGATGGCACACAAACACTACGCAGGTCTCATCCATGCATTTGCTTTTTTTTTTTTCCCCTATCTGTGCAGGGGAGTGGTGCTCTCCAGTTCCCCAACGGAGTGCCCACGTCACTGAAGGATTCTGGGCAGCAGTGGGACTATCCGAACGCGTGGCCTCCTTTACAGCACATGCTCATTGAAGGTAGGGAAACGATGTTTAAATGTGCCACCGTGAGAATTTACTGAAAAATCCCATTTGATGAAGCAGCATTTGTTCAAAATAATGCTGTGATAAATGCACATTTCTGTAAATGCACAACAAAATCAGCCCAGCAGGCTACTTCCACGTGATTCGTACCAGTTTTGTGCTCCGGCTCCGTCAACATGCAACGATACAATGACTAGCACCGACTAATGAATCAGCCAAACTCCTGACCTTCAGCTGATCGAACATCCTCATCCCAAGGTCTCCTCAGCGGCTCATCCGGCGCTTTTTGATCGTGTTACACAAGCTTTCCTCGGCAGATGAAGTCCCCCAGTTGTCAGTAAATTGTCCGCGTTCAACGTTCTGAGCACGTCAAGGGCTTCGGCTCGGCGTTGACCTTGACTGCAGATTTTGTGTTTTAATTTGGCCGCTGTTTACATCCACATCAGACGCACAGTGTAAGGACTGCTCACCTTCGGTTTCCACATTTGTTTTTCGCCCGGCTCTTCCTCGGTAACGCCCTCGTGGGCCTGCATAGCAACTATATTCATTTTTTCCCTTCTTGCTTCAGGGGTTTTTACACCTTCAGCTTGGTCTTCATCGAGTAAGAAACCTGCTCAGCTGCACTGAAACCTAAAAACTGTCTAGACTGGTCAAGAAATTGCACTGTTTGGGTGTAAAAAATCCACTCTGCTGTTTCGTAGCCTTTATGTTTAGCAATATTTCTGCATGTTTCATTTCAAATTCATTGTGCTGGAGTTCAGAGTCAACATAACGAATCATATTTGCTTTCTGATGGGAATCTCGTCGTGTTCCAGGTTTATCCAAACTGCCTTCAGAAGAAGCCCAACAGCTGGCGTTTGATTTGGCCCAGCGTTGGATCAAGACAAACTGGTTGGCCTACATTAAGTATGAAGCCATGTTTGAAAAGGTGAGTCTTTCAAGGCTTCGGCACTTCAGAGCTGGCGTTGCTCTTTGATAAGGCGGCGGACTCAGAATGTGTAATTTTGGCTCCTCCTGACAGTACGATGTGAACGGAGATGGCAAACCTGGCGGTGGAGGAGAGTACGTGGTTCAGGTATGTGCATGTGTTGATGCTGTAAAACTAATGTGCTTACACTCACTAATTTCATGCAAAGCCCTGACTGTTTTTTTCCTTTCCTACCTCTGCTTCTTAACACATTTGCATGCTCTCGTGCACGCCGTCACTCCTCCTCATTCTTCATTGTCATCTGCTCGTGTTGTGAGTCTTTTACTGGATTTTGTTGCTTTGCCTCAGCCTAACGCTCTGCTGCTTTGTCCCCCCTCCTCCTGTAGCTGGGCTTCGGTTGGACCAACGGCGTGGCCCTGCAGCTCATGGACCAGTATGGGGCGACTCTCGCGTCAGGAGGCCGACACGTGTCTTCTGGCCTCCTGCTGCCTCTGGTCACCGCAGCCGCGCTGGTGTTGCAGTGAATCAGAGGTGTCAAAAGAGCCCGACTGAAGGTTGGATTTCATTATTGCTGGTTTCACTCCTCCTGCATCGCCTCCGAGCGCTGACAGACGTTCAACAAACACAAACTGACATCACCACCGAGACCACGCTGTGCATATTTTAACTCCTCTAAATCCAATATGATCAGGATCGGTTTTATTTTTCAGAAGGAACGGGATAGGATTTATGATAACTCGGGATTACTTTGATGAATATTTTAGTATTTATCCTCAGAGATAAATGATCCTTGGCTTTATCGGAGGATGCAGATCATTTAGGCACTTCTGGACTCCTTCGAGTAATGCGGGCTGCTGCTGCTCCTTACATCACAACATTAACTTGTCCCAGATATTGAACTGACATTATAAACAGTTATTCACCTAATTCAATTATAAAGTTTATTGCTGCAGTGTAGCCGAACTCCCACGGAGCTCCTCCATTTGCATGCAAAACCGAAGTCGGAATGTAAATGAGGTTGTGTGAGAAATAAAATGTGAAGCATTAAATATATTTGGAACACAGCGGTCTTTATTCTGCGTAATGTGTTACACGTCTGACGTTTTATTGAATTCCTACGAGCCAGTCGGGAAGCGTTAGGCGGCCGCGGTGATGTGTCACGTCAAAAAAAACGGTGTTAAAATACAGCTTGCTTAAAATGCTAATTTTTGCATTATGAATACAGGTTGTGCTTATGTGGGAATTATTTCCTCTCCAGCAGCTGTGCATGAGGCAACGCTGCACGTTCAGATGACCTTTGTTGCTTTTAAAAGATGCATCATACAAGTAATAGTGTTGTCTCACCAGCTTCGACATAAAAACCACCGCGGATACACACTCAAACCTTTTGGCGATAATAAAAGTTGCGTTTGAATGAGTCAGTCCGAGAAGTCAAAGGGCTCGAAAACTTTAAGAATTCACGATAAACACTGGACTGAAACTCCCAGAAATGTGTCAATAATTTCAAAAAGAAACAAAGACTTTTTTTTTTTTTTCACCACTTCTGTTTGTTCCAAGAAAAGCTCCGTCTGCCTTTTGCCATTTCTGCTTACATCTGTGGCGACATGCTGGTCAAGCATGAAATTAAGTCCATATAGATATTCAAATGGTTGTCAAAAAAAAAAAGTAATGAGAAATTTGCCTTTTTAAAGAAGAAATTGCATCCTCCTTGGCTGGTGCCGATATGAAGCCCGAGCAGGGATTTCGCCGCATCTCTCTCCTTAGCATGAGTGAACACAACAGATTGACTGTGCAATTTAAATAGGCAAAAGGCCAATAGGCGCAGCAGTCCGTGCAACCCCAAAGATCACACTCTGGTAATGTGCTATTGTGGGTCTCCATCTACAAGGCATATCGCTGCCTCTTTCTTTTTTCTGCACAACCGCGACGCCCATACAGCAGCAGCCATGTGTAGCTATGCTGGCGGAGATGTTTAAGCAGCAGGCGGCAGTCATTGTGTTTGCAGGCCTCGCCGACGGCAGCAACTCAAGTAGAACCTGCTCCGTTTGATAACTCGCACATTACCATGCTGTTTTAGCACAAACGCGCCGCGCTCGGTTAATGAGATCGAGCCGCAAAGTGTGGAGGGAGTCGTCCGGCGGTTAAGTGGCGACGAGGCCCGACGCCGCGGTGTGTTTGCGTGCGCGCACGTGCGTGTGCGTTTAATTACACAAATCTGAGGACATTATTCTAAGAAGCACATTGGATGGGCGGTACATGAATTGTAAAGCAGCGGTGACAACTGCATTACATGTTGTTGTGGAAGTAAAGGTCAGGGTGTCTTGTCCTCACCAGTCACGCAGTAACTAGCGCCGCATACAAATGAGCATCCACACGAAAACTGCAGGAATTTCACTTTTTTTTTATCCGTGGTCTAAAGATTTATTGTTTACAGGGAACTGACCTGATGTTTTTACAGCAGAGAGGAAGGAAGTCTTTAAAATTCAACCTGAATCTTCATAAATCTTCTCCACTGCATGTACCTCTGGCCATAGATATGTTAAAAAATACTACTGACACCAAGGCAGTCCCTGATTTCCATAATGAGAATAAGATGCAGGATGATATGCAGAAATGTGTGAAATCGTATCAAACAGGGGCAGAATGTGGAGGAAAAAAAAAAAAAGTCGGCGCGGACAACAATGGAGGTGGATTTCTATCTGAATGTGTGTGTGTGGCTCCAGACGGAGGCCTTCATTACTGCTACCTGGCTCAGCCTTCACTGGCCCCTGCAGCACACATCACAAAGGCTGCTCATTATCCACCGAGTCCTCGTGGTGCCGGTGCCGAGTCCCTGCAGAACCCGGCGCTGCACCGTCGGGATAATCCCCCCCCCCACCACCACCGCAGCGCCGCAATCCGTGGAGGAAGTCTGGCTGTCTGATGCCGAATCAGAGAGTCATCATTCCCATTCAATACGCTCCGATCGATAGCTCGTTGAGGGATCAGGCCTGTGTCTCTGTGCAGCGTATTTTCCCTAATGATGAGCGTGGCCTCCACAAAAAAAAAAAAAAACTGGTTTGTGTCTGACTTAGTGGCTAAACTGTTTGGAGATTAAGCCAACTCCTTGACCTCTAAACTGGAAGGATTGCCTAACTGGAGGCATTATACGGACAGATAGGAGATAGCTTAGTGATATTGATCCGGCACCGTCCGGAGATATCCGACTTTTTATGATCAATAACTCTTGAAGGAATCGTTCCAGTAGAATTTCTCTTGCTTAAGAGGAGATTTGAAAATTCAATCTGATGGAAGGAAGAGTTACCGGCGAGGGAGGATTTAATATCGTCTCAGCTGATCTGCAACCTTGAACCTGAGCCCTGGAGGAATCTCTCAACCAGCGACACAAAGTAATTCACCTCACTTATGCATTTCACGAGTTTCATTGTGAAGGTCCTCGTGCATGTTTCTCTGTGACGCTCTTTAGTGAAGCTGCAGATGTCTTCTGGTTTCCTCGGAGCATGTCTTATCTAAAGTCATAGCCTATACAAAGAACCTTTATGTGCTTTATGTCGGGCTGGTAGTTACTTTCACGTCAACAAAGAGTTGCTTTGTTTGTAACCTGCATTTGAAATTAATACTTAAAGTCCACGTAAAGGAAATTCTCTGGAGCCCCCTAAAGGTCATAGTGGTGTTTTCTAATGGACTGCTTTTGTGTTCTCACCATAAGAACCTTCCCAGCTAGTATCCAGTGTTCCCACAATGTTTGCTAACATTACCTACAAGTTCTAATAATAGACAAAGTTCAAATGAGCCTTTTAAGAATGATTTAATTTCCAATAATGTTCCTGTAGCGTAATATAATGTTTTAACGAGGATGTTCTCAGGAACACAGATTATATTCAACGATAACAACGGAGAAACGTTTGCAAACCAACATTTAAAAAAACTTTTTCCCGATGTTATCAAGGCTTCAGATGGTTTTTTAACGAAACGTAAAAATAATAACAAAGGTGGAACATTCTTCCTGCAATGTTGTGCGATAGATCTGATCTATTAAAGGTAGAACATTTTGCTTTATGTTGAGGGAACAGATTCTAGAACATTCTCCTATAAAACGTCAACCAACATCAAGCAAACGTTTTCAAGATGTTAGCGAGACCCCAGATGACGTACGATGAACACAGTCCTGTAATGTGATATGTATATATATATATAAACAAAAGTGGAACGTTCTGCCTGTAATGTTTTGAGGACATTTTAGGGATTTTGGCGAGGAACACGTTGTAGAATCTATAGAACGTTTTCAAAGTGTTCCACAGTGTTGCATGATAACAAACATAGTAACAATGTTATCAGCACACATTTTTAGAGATTCTGGGAACTAAAGGAACACCTCCTGCTGAAAACATTAGTAGAACTTTCTCAGAACGTTGTAGGAATTTAAAAAAATTCTAGTTTGAATAATGATAATATGGAAGCTGAACTCTGGCCATTTTTCCCAAAACTCCCCACATCAAAGTCAGATATTTGAACGAACACGCTCAGTGTAACAAGTTCTAGCAACGTTAGAATTAGAATAAAATTCGAAAAAAACTTTATTGATCACTTCGATACAAGACCTCAGGGAAATTGCTATAAAGTTAAAGAATATATGTGTTAAAGCATAACAGTCAGTCTAACAATGTTCTCACCAAACACCATTTATTATTTTGGTATCCTGCCTTAAAGGTGAACATTCTGGGAAATAAAAACTGAAAGCATTAGTAGAACCTTGCAGAACCTTCTCAGAATGTTGTAGGAATTAAAGAAAATTCGANCTTAAAGGTGAACATTCTGGGAAATAAAAACTGAAAGCATTAGTAGAACCTTGCAGAACCTTCTCAGAATGTTGTAGGAATTAAAGAAAATTCGAGCTTGGATAATGATAATATGGAAGCTGAACTCTGCTCATTTTTCTCAAAACTCCCACGTCAAAGTCCGATATTTGGAAGAATGCTCTCAGTTTTGTAAGTTTTAAGAACATTAAAGCATAATGATGTAATTTTTAAAATATTCTAGTTTGGATAATGATAATATGGAAATGGAACTCTGCTCATTCCTACCCAAACCTCACTATCAGGTATTTGGAAGAATGCGCTCTGTTTTAAGAATGTAACTGTCTAACGTTGTTCTCCCCAAACATTATTAGAACATCTTTTGGTATCCTGCCTTAAAGAAGAACATTCTGGGAACTAAAAAACTGAAAACATTCGTAGAACTTCACAGAACTTTCTCAAAACCGTGTAGGAATTTTTTAAAAAGTTCGGAATATGAAAACTGAACGTGGATGTTTGACATGACTCTGCTCATTCCTACCGAAACATCACCATAAAAGTCAGATATTTGAAAGAACGCTCTGTTTTAAGAATGTTAAAGCATAATGGTCTAAAAATGTACATGATTAGAACATGTTTTGGTATGCTACCTTACTAAAAAACAATCGTGGAACTTTGCAGGACCTTCCAAGAACATGTATGGAATAAAAGCAGTTCTATCTGGGTTTCGTGTGCTGGTCCCGTCCAGCTGTAACACGCTGCTGGTTGGTTGGAACCGATGTGCAGACAGAACAGAGAGGAGCCGGGACGTGACCCAGTGTGCGACGCATTCTCTGCGTGTTATTCATTTTTATATCTGGTCCTGCGACAGCGTCCAGCTGCTGGTTGTGAGCGCAGCTGCAGCTCTGCGTGCTGCGGCTGGATGTGCTGCTCGGACTTCAGCTGCCGCTCTGGATGTGTCCAGCTGGTGCTGTTTGAACCCGCGGCGCTCCTGTGACAGATGTGTTTGTTTGTTTTATTCAGGAGTTCAGGAATGCGACCGCTTTAATTCAGCTCCGTTACAGCCAGTAAACCTGCATATGTCACAGCGGAGGGTGCGCCGACTCCTGCTAAGTGCATTAACTAATACAGCAACATGTAAGCTGTAGTCTGAGGCTGTTTCTGACAACAGAGAGTCATGTTTCCCCCAAACTGGCTGTGAGCTTTAACTGGAAGTTACCATAGATTGTATAAAAGATGGACGTAGCTACCGTGACGTCACCCGTT